TTCCTGTTCTCTTCGTCCGGAAGAGGAACAAGGATTTGCAGTTGTGCATCGATTATCGCAAACTCAACGCGCAGATGATCAGAAACGCCGGCCCTCTCCCACGCATCGACGATCTTCTCGAGCGACTGGGCGGCGCCAAGTTCTTCTCCAAGCTGGATCTCCAGTCGGGATATCACCAACTCGAGATTCGCAAGGAGGATCGCTATAAGACCGCGTTTAAAACGCGATATGGGCATTTCGAATGGTTGGTTATGCCATTTGGCCTTACGAATGCCCCGGCCACTTTCCAAGCGGCTATGACAACGGAGTTCCGACACATGCTGGATCGATACGTACTTATCTACCTCGATGACATCCTGGTGTACAGCCGGAGTTTGGAGGAGCATGTGGAACACCTGCGCACCGTTTTGGAGCGGCTACGACAGGCCAAGTACAAAGCCAACCGCGACAAGTGCGAATTCGCACGGCAGGAGCTGGAGTACTCGGGACACTATGTGACGCCGCAAGGCATCCGTCCGCTTGCGGACAAGATCGAGGCCCTACGAGTATGGCCCGAGCCCACCACCACCACGGACGTTCGTTCATTCATGGAATTGGCGGGCTACTTATCAGCGATTCATCACCGGATATTCCAGGATTGCTGCACCTATGACGAGGTTACAGTCGCCAAAGGTGCCATTCGTATTCGATGACGACGCACGCCGGTCATTCCAAGCACTTAAGACGGCTATGCTTATGGCACCCGTCCTTAGCATCTATGACCCCACACTGCCGACGAGAGTGACTACGGACGCTTCCGGCTATGGCATTAGGGCAGTCTTGGAACAACACAACGGCGACGACTGGCACCCTGTGGAGTATTTCAGCCACGAACTGCCTCCCATCAACTCGCTTGATGATGCAAGGAAGAAGGAGCTGCTCGCATTTGTCATGGCTCTCAAGCGATGGCAACACTTCCTCCTTGGGCGTCGTAGGTTCACATGGGTTACGGACAACAATCCATTGACGTACTACAAGACGCAGGATACGGTGAGCAGCACGATCGGACGATGGATGTACTTTATCGAATAGTTCGACTTCACACCGAAACATCTTCCCGGCCTCTCCAATCGCGCAACAGATGCACTCTCGCGAAGACCTGATCTTTGCGCTATGACAATCATGCCTTTACATTCGACGAGGAGCTTCAGCGACACTTCATCCGGGCATACGAGTCTGATCCGGACTTCGCCACGCTGTATGCACAGCTATCTTCGGATCACCCGCCGGCCAGCCACTATTGCATTGCCGACGGGTACTTGCTCCTCCACTCGAGAGGCAAGGACTTACTATGTGTCCCACGCGACCGCCGTCTACGGACTCGCCTCCTCGGTGAGTATCATGATTCACGACTCGCCGGCCATTTCGAAGTCAACCGCATTATTGCACGGCTTCAACAGCGATTCCGATGGCCCGATCTCATTACCGATGTCACTCGGTATTGCGAGTCTTGCGAAGTTTGCCGACGCAGCAATCCCCGCAACCACAATCCCTATGGCGAGTTACGCCTGATGCCTATCCCACGGGAACCCGCGCTCTCCATTGCCATGGACGTCACTGGTCCGTTCCCTCGCGACCGGCTCGCGCACGATGGCATCCTCACGGTTGTGGACCGATTGAGTAAGTACGCGCGTTGTCTTCCTTGCAAGTACTACTCCACGGCTCCCGAGCTGGCACGCCTCCTGCACACTGGTTGGATTTGTGGCCACGGTGTACCAGAAGGCATAGTCAGCGACCGCGACACCCGCTTCATGTCGGGATTTTGGACTGCTCTCATGCAGGAGTCCGGCACGAAGATGAAACCAAGTTCGGCTCAGCAGCCACAGACGGACGGGCAAACGGAGCGGGCACATCAAACCGCTCAAATGATGCTTCGTACGCTCATCCGTCCGGACTAGAAAGATTGGGTTGACCGCCTCCCCGACATCGAGTTCGCCTACAACACTTCGGTGCATCCGACGATCGGTGTGACTCCATTCGAGTTGCACCACGGTGGACGGAAAGGCCGGATCTTCGCCGACCTTCTCCTCCCTCGACCAGCCGATATTGACGCTGCCTGCTCTCCCGCTTCCGTCCGGAAGTAC